TTTATAGACATTTTAAAAAACGCTTTTGGTAATATTGCTACAAAACTTTTCTACATCTCTCCATCGGCTATAGGTATAGAACCTACAGAATTATATGCTTGCTTTTATCAAATCTTTTTTCCAAAAACAAGTCAAAGAAAATATTATCGATTTACTTTACAAAACATACCACTAGCTTCTTTACCTATACCTTTTTTTAACGTCGACCAAATCATATGGCCTGAACGTGAATTAAAAATGATGGATATTTTTACAGAAAGTATAAATTACAACTTGTCAAACAATTTACTTAATTTAAAGTTAAATAATCTTACTTTTAACGAATTTATTTATGAAGGTACTAATATCTACTCATATCAAAAATTCCTCAATCAATACAATTTTTCATCCATTCCTAACAATTATTATAAAAATTATTATACTTTTTGGAGTTTACCTTCATTTGAACAAAATACACACGAAATCAATTTAAAATCACCATTACAAATTTCTAAAGCAATAATTGCTTCAACAAATTATTTTGAAATGAAAGGTAACCAAATTTCACCGTATCATGCTCAATTTGGTTCACTCAACACTTTTACTACATCTCCTTCTAATTTACCCGAAGATATTTATAAAATTATAACGGTAGATTTGACATTGATTGCTAAATACAATTCAGAAACATTTATTGAAGTTTTGATGTACTGTGAACAAACTAAATCTATTTTTTCTCCAACTTTAAAAGTACCTCTTGTTACTACGGCATCTTTTGAAAGAGCTACTACACCTAGTTATAAAACGTGGTTAAACGGATCAAAATCTATATTGCAAGGTAACAACATTAACGAATTGGTATTTTATTGCACTTCGCTCAACGGACAACTTATTTATCAAAAAAAAAGTGACGGTACTATCATAAATTCTTGGTCTAATAGTTTACCATTAAAAAATATTATTTTAAAAATGTATCAACCCATTAGAAACAATCCTGTACCTTATACATTGCTATTACAAAGAGATCAATACAGTTTGACAAACGAAATAAATCCGTTTAACATAGAAATAGATCAAAATATGGTTTATACCATGGCTCAAGATTTTAAAATTCAAAAAAGAAAGCTTGCTTTTTTAAGATGTACTTTGATGCAAATAAGTAACTTTAATAATTCTGTATCTAATTTTCCTACTACTACCGACAACCTTATATTTATTAAATGCGATCAAGCTACCAATTGTGGAATGTACATGAACAGAAGATATGAAACGGGTATTGTTTCTTATTTTAATTTGTCAGATTATAACAATGCTACTCAAGTAACAGTCAATATCGATTTTACTAAAAATCGCAAAACAGAAATACAAGGACAATTAACAACGTTTGATATTGTTGACGTAGAAGATTGGAAAAAAACCAAATGGTCTTTTTTGAACGCTAATAAAGAACCGCTCAAATTTAACAATTTAAGTACTACTGTTTTTTTTAATCCTACTTTTAAAATACAAATGGTACCATTTTATAATTAGTTTTAAAAAAAATGTTAAAAGGAATGGATCGATTTGATTGTAATTGTCTTTGTTGTAATAAAACAAAGTTTTACAAGATAAAAAAACAAATGGAAAAAATGAATGAGGATGTTCAATCACAAATACAATCGATGCAATACGAAACGTTCAAGTTAAGAGAAACGATTAAAAATCAAAAAGAAGAAATACAAAGGATTTCTAATGAACTGCTTTAAAAAAACAGACAACTAGAATTAACGTTATGAAAATAAAGAACTTGACCTTTTACATTTCTATAAAATAAAGTGTTTTAATTTGTTTACTATAATTTTTGTTATAAAAAGATTTTTTTTCAAAAAATAATAAAGTATAAAAAAAATGTCTCTTTTTCGAGCAAGAGGAAGATATGAAAAAAATTTAATAAACGAGAAAATACCTGAATTAATGAATCCACAAAATAGTGAAATCAATGAAATTCAAAACAAATTTTATAATCTTCAAAATCAAATGTCTCATTTTTCAACTAAAGCAGACGTTCTTCGCGTCAAATCAGAACTGGATGAAAAATGCGAGCAATTAAAAAAATTAAAACAACAACAACAACAGCAAAATATACAAAATACTTACGAAGAAAAACCTAGAAAAAATGTTATAAAAAAAAACGAAACTGAAAAACCAAAACGTAAAAAAGTAAAATATTCAGAAGAAGAAAGTGAAAGTTCTGAAGAAGAATATGTTGAAAAAAAACCATCAAAAAATAAAGTTACGTTAACTTCACACGTTTGCGCGCAATGTTTTCAAGAAGTTAAAGCTGTAGACGCTATTCACGGTTTGTGCAGAAACTGTATTATACAACAAAAAGCTATTTTATCCAGTCCTTTTATGCAAAATAACATTGAAAAAAAAAGCAAAAAACAAAAATTGAATAAAAAAAGTTTAATTGAACTTGGTTACACGCGTGCTTTAAAAGACGTTAAAAACAAAAAAATACCATTTAAAAAAAATACTTCTGACTCGGAAGATGAATAAATAGAATTAAAAAAAGTATTAAAACAAAAAATTTTATTCTTATTTTATTTTTCAAAGAAAAAAAAAATTATATCAAGATGGGTTCTTTGGCAAAATATATGAGAGCGGGTGACGGTAACCGTTATACGCCTAACCATAACGGTCCCGTTACCATTGATGACGTTTTACAAAAAGCAGAAGACGAAAATCGTCTTTTGCAAGAAGCGACAAGCGGTAACCTTACTTTAGAAATGAAATCAGCATTAAACGAAAAATATCCTGGTTTTATGACTGCTGTAGCTCAAGATGAAATTATCAAAACCGATTATCAAAAATTTACACCTGATTTAACTTCAGATTTAAAAAGTTTGATTACGTATACTATGAAATTTAATGAATGGACAATACCGGAAGATTATATTTATGAATTTGATGTTCATTTATTTAAAAACATAAACACAAAAACAAGATTTAATACAACACCAAATAACGCAGATGTTGCATTATTAGAAAAAATTTCATTAGTCGAAAATTTTGTTTTTCATTTAAACAAATTTATAAGAGTATATCCAAATTATCAAAAAAATAACTCTATGCCTGCTAATAACGTTATAAATAATCGAGCGTACCAACGATTCAAAACAATGTTTGTTAAAAAAAGTTATATGAAAGCATATAGAGAGCACATGCTTAATCATAATTTAGCAATGACAGAAAAAACAAATAACAGAGCAAGTTGGGATGAAACAAATAATCTTATGAAATCTAACGATCCTAATGCAATCATAAGAGCATTAAATGTTAACGCAGCACCTGCAGCTGAGTATCAAACATTTTTAAAAGATACTCATAATGCTTTGATGAACGGAGAAAAAGGTTTTCGTTTTAGAGTACCCTTATTTTTGTTATGTGAATTTTTTCAAATTAAAAGTTATTACGGAAAAGGTAAAGAATTAAAAATTGAATTTACTGTTGAACAAGATACTAATCAACTTTTAGAATATATAAGACCTATAACGGATGCTCAAATAGAATCTTTAGCTAATGTTGGATTAGAAATTAGAAATCCTGTAATTTGGGTCAATACTTACCGAATTAATGCCAGTTTACCTTTAGAAAAATCTTTATACATAAACAGTTTACCAGACCAACCTTATACTATAGCTCGTTTTGCTCATTACGAACAAGTTATAACTAACGTAGAAGGTACAGATACCGTTACCATAAGCTTAGGAAATATAAAAACATCTGACATGGTACCTCATTGTGTTTTGTTTTCTGTTCAATCAAAAAAAGAAAGCGATCATCTTACCAAATCTTCTATGACACCTGCTGAAATAGCTTGCACTATGATTAAAAAAATTACTTTTCATAATTTTAGAAGAACTTTTGTCAATTCTTCAGGTGACACTTATGTAATTGATTTAGAAAACAAACCAGAAGATCAACAATTATGTTATCGTAGTTATGTTTCTTGGTGTAAAGGAAATACTCCTTCTACTCTTAGTATTAATAATTTTGCAGATTTTTATACCTATGACGACGACAGTTTTATTAGAAACCCCAAGGATTATTTCAGTAAAACGCAAAATTTAACTGAACCTTTAGCAATTGACACCACTAGCGATTATAATTATGTTAACGACAAACCACCGGCAACCATTCAAGGAAACAATTCCTTACAAATTACCGTTGATTTTGTTACCAATTTTAAAGGTATCATAACTCTGTACCTTCAACTTGCGGCACAACTGGTTCAAACTGGAACAGGAGAAGACGAAAATTACACATATTTTCCTTTCAAATTTAAATCATCATAACACCTTTTACAACATTTTTGTTTTAGTTAAATTAACCATGTTTTAATTGTATTTTTTTATGCACGCACGACTATTTAATTTGAAAAAAATATAAAAAAAAAACATTTATATTTGTTCTTTCTCAAAATTAATTGTATGGCGCGAAGACGGTATCGTAAAAGAAGAGGTCGCAAACATCGAGGTAAAGGAAAAATTATAACAAGAGTTAAAAATCTTGCCAGACGTTTACTTAGATCAGACGTGGGAGGTTTAGCGTTAGATTATTTGCAAAAACAACGTAATGTATAGATTGTGTAGAAAAAAAATTCATAAAAGACGAGGAAAAGGAAGAGTTTATTTACCTCCGTTAAAAGGCGCCGGTAGAAGGAAACGAATACGCGGTAAATTTCTTCCGATATTAGGCGCTTTATTGGGTGGCAGTTTACTATCTTCTATAATACGTTAAAAAATTATTTTTAAAATGCGTAAAAGACTAAAAGGAAAAAGACATAAAAAACGTTTCAAAAGACGTTACAAAAAACGAATGCGTGGAAAATTTTTAGGAGCAATAGGTGCAATTGCTTCAAAACTTTTACCAAGACTTTTACCTGTTATAGGAAGAGCCGCTTTAGGTGGCGCAGTTTCAGGAGGAATATCTTATGGGATTAATCGAGCTGGAAAATAAAAACATTGTATTGTATCATTTTAATTTATTAAATATTGTATTACAACCGTATACATGCTCGTGTTTTAAGTTAAATTTTTCGTAACCCTTATAATAATTAATAAAATTTTCCAAGCGTTTTAATAATACAACTAAACGTTTGTTATGTATATCAAATTTCCATATGATAAACGATTCCAAACTCGACTGTTTCTCTTTATAACCCGGAGTATCAATAACAATAATATAAAAATATTTTTTTCGTATACACGTTAATATAAAACAAAATTCATAAAGTACTTTTAAATTTGTAAAGTTTATAATTTCTACAATACAATCTGACTTGTCCATCATTTCCTCGATTGATTTATATTTTCTTTTGTCAGTATTATTTAATACTTCTCTACAAATCTTCTCCAATTCATAAAGGTTCATATTCATTTATTTTGACTAATAGCACACAAACAATATATTGTAGTGTTCCAAAAAGAAAGAATAATATCATTAATAATGTCAGCAACGTAAACACCAAAACCATTAACAAAAAATTTGCAATCTTTCCAGAAACGAGTAACAACAATTTTGCTATCTTTTCCAATTTTGTATAATTATATAATTTTATCGCATTAAGTTTAACAAAGTTTCCAACACATTGAAAAAACTTGCATATTTGTATACCACTTTTTTTAATAAAATTAAATACTTCCATTTAAAATGCAAAAAGAACTTCTATTATTGTAAAAACAAATATAACAGCTTTAACGAACTTCCCAACTATGTATTTGATTTCCATGTGAATCGTACATATACGGATTTGGTTTTGGTTTTTCTGAATTGTACGGTTTTACAACTGCAACAAGTTTTGGTTTATCGAACTGTTGTAATGGTTTGTTCTTTGATTCCATCTGTATAAAATTAAAAAACATTTGCTTTTTTATATATTTTTTTTATAACGCTAGATTAACTTTAAACAAAAAAAAATTTAATCTTTTTTATTTTAAAACATTATCGGATTATAACGTTATGACGTTATCGGATTATGACGTTAGTTATGACGAAGGTCGGGATGGAAGGTTGGGAGGAAAGTGAGTAAATCCTATATAGGTATATCATCAACCATATGAAAGTGATTTCAAGATTTTAATAAAATACTTATATGAATTATTTCAAAAACAAAACATTGAAAAAGACTCTGCATTCTTTTTTATAATATTTTATTTATTAAAAAAAAAAATACTTCGTTTAAAAAAAACTTATTTGTGTTTTACTTTATTTTTTATATATAACTTTGATTTTTTCAAATAAAAAAAAAATGTTTCTCTTGCTACACTTAACCAAAGATTTGAGAAGTTATATGTCTAGATCATGCTTGAAAACAGTCTGTTCAAAAATATCAAATAATAGCCACGAATTCGCTCTTACATAATCAACCACTAAAGGTATTTCCATATTTTGAAAGCTGACGCTGCATCTAATTTAAACATTTTCCGATGGAAAACCTGCCAGAAAAAAGAGCTGGTCCTGTAAAGTTAATACTTCAATAATTTTTAACATTATCTTATCAAATAATAATGCTAATAATGAGTTTATTTATAACATTATGAAATCAAAGTCTAAAACGCTATTCTTGATTGCAGCTGTATCTGAATTCCCAGCTCTGAGAAATTTAGGAGAATATAAAATTGAAATATATGTTGCCATCTTTTCCCATTCTTTATCTTCCTTTTGTCTCAAGTTCAGGATTTGCTTTGTCAAATTATAAGGAAGCATGACATTGCGAACTCTTCAGATCAGTAAATACTTACTGCCATAAACCGTGTATGGTTTACTGCCCCAGGCTTGTGAATGTTGAGATGCTTGAATGTTGGTTCCTAAAAAATGAGAGCTAGCTCAGCAAGTTCCTAGTAGTCTCTAGTTCCTGGTAATATTGGATATTGTTTTTATTAATAAATATTTCACATTTATTACATAAACTTGAACATTTTAATGGCTAGAAAAACTAACCTCAAAATATTTGAAAACACCTTCATTAACAAGTGTTATAAAAAGATTTCTTGCCTCATCTGCTTGTTCTTTAAACTAAGAATGACAAATCTGTTGCGAATTGAAGTGATCAATAAACTGTGTCATTATCAACATCAACAAAAGTACATCGCCAGGTCTGCTGACCTATGGTAACTGACTCATAATGTTCCAAGAATATATGGTAACTGACTCATAATGTTCCAAGAATATATCTAAAACTCAATCTAATAAATTTGAAGCCATTAATGAATAGTTTGTTGTATTAGCTCTCAGAGATCTTGTTTTGAATTATTAAAAAAATTTGTTTACCTGCATATAGCACAACAAGTTATTCCAGTATTAGTAGCAGTAGTGTCAAAGAAAACCATTCTTACATAATCAGCAATACCAAACCCGGTCAAAATCTCCTTAATAGCCTAAACCAATTTAATCCTGTATAGGAAGGAACCCATAGAGCACTATGTAGATGAGTAGTTCCTTCAGCTCTCACAAGAATGCAAATCCTAGCAACTGTTACATCAACATTCATTTATAACATGTTCTGGAATTTGGAATCAAATAAATATGTAATAAAAACATTTTCATTGTAATTATTTAACATACTAGTTATAAATAAATAAATGCAAACCTTGATTAACTTTCAATCAAAGTGTAACTGAATTTTTATCTTATTTTGTTTGATCTTATTTTAAATAAGAACCTTAATATAATCAGCATCTTTGTTGATGTTATTTTTCAATCAAAAAGCATAAGTATAAGAAAGAGATCTCCAGCTGTGGTGACAGCTGAAGATCTCTTAGAAAAAGCTTAATTACGGTTACTAATATTTTATGAGCTGTTGTATCCGTGTCTATAGCTATTCTCAGTCTCTTTAATAATTTTTATGTTGACAGCAATACTTTATTTCGGCTTGTCAAAATTTCTTAGTGAACGTGCCTGTAATTTGTTTCTATTAGAACTACGTACATTCATTTATAACATGTCTAGTATTTGGTTCTAAAAATATTTCAGATAGATGTGCAACTATAGTAACACAAATCATTTTCTGAGTTGGACTTCGTACTTGGTTTCGAAGAAAATATTCCTGATGGATGTACAACATCAGTAATGCACACTTTAGTACCTCTTGAATGATTAAATAAATTTTCACAAAAACTTGTCGATGTTGTAAATTTAGTCTAACCCCATTTATTTCTTCTTTGTTTAATAAAAGATAGTCTCGAGAAGGCAATCTTATCGTGGTTAAAACTTTCTTTCAACTCTTTAACTCCTAAACACAAACCTTTATAAACAAGGCCTCTGTGCAGAAAAAAAAGTTTGTTCATTTGAATTTCAAGATCAATGTTTAGTTGAAACTTCAGTCACTACCTTCTTTTCTCTAGCCTACTTTTTCTCATTTCTCATTTACATTTTAAATTAAATAGAATAATACTTATAAATTTAAAATAAATCAATAAATAAAGATTTCACATGAACTATTTTTTCCTCATACGGTTTAAATATTTTTTTTAAAATAATTTGAAAAACTCTTGTTATAAATTATTAAATAACAATATATAAAATATATTTTAAATTAAGTTAAAGTAGAAAACAAACTATTTTTCAATACCATTAAACAAAAAACTTTGAAGAGATGAAATAAAATAATAATCCAGAAAAAACTTAAATTTACCCAAAAAACCCACTGGACCAGAGTTTTTTTAAAAAACCACAGGTTTTTGCCAACCCTGCTTTAATCTTTATAAATTCAGTGCAAGATTGTGCACATCCTGCTTTACTGTTGCGCTGGTTCTTCTTGAGTTTTAAATATCTTTAATATATTTTGCTATATTTCTTTGCAGTGTGACAGGCCCAATAATTATATTGATCTTAGCAAAAAAAAAAAAAAATCGGTTTCTTGATGTAAAAACTATCTGAGATTCTGCATGTTTCTGGCGTTGTACAAATGACTTCGTTAAAAAAAGCAAAAACAATCTTATTTTATTATTTTTGCTAAAAAATTTGATTAGCAAACATGCGTATGAATATTGCGCAGAGATGTCGGAAGAACAGCCATTTTACTTTGGGATCCAGTGTCCGAACAATAACCACAGGCAAAAAAAAAGGTTTTGCAAAAAGGTATTTCTTAGAAAAAATCTTTTAAAACTAGAAAACCTTTTGGTGTATAAGGGTTTTCTGACAGGATTTTATTAGAAAACTCTTTTGTTAAGGTTTGTAAAATTTATTTTTTCAGTATTATAACCATGTCTGAATTTTTTAACACCAAAATGAACGCAAAAAATAATATATGAATATTAACCAAAGGTAAAAACTTTAAAAAAATTTACCTTTGGTTGTTTTTAAATTGAAATGTTTACTGGTGCGGTGTATCAGGATTAACCCTACGATGGGAGTGGTTAATCAACTAAACAAAACTTTCTTTTTTGATATTTTTCTTAGACAACAACTGGGAGTTCTACTTCTAAATTCTACTCTAGTTCTAGTTCTAAATTTTAGTCAAACAAGCATACGTTACTTATAACGCGCATAGAAATACACGTGTCTGACATGTCCGCTGTTTTTTATACTTATTTGTATACTTATTGTTACTGCTAAAATTTTAAATTTCTAGTTTGTTTTTTGCTTGTTAGAAGATGAAATCTTTTACGAAAAACCTATATTAAAAAAAAACAACATATTTTGTGGTGTTTAAATTATTTTTGGCCTAAGGTCAAGCTTGATTTTTATGTGAATATTTTGTATGCTTGTAGACTTTGTAATTACTTTATTGTTATTGAAAAATTACAAGTAAATATTAAACATTAGCAAAAAAATTAATTTGTCACCTAAAATTATTGTTGAAGAGATGTTTATAAAGTTTTCTTTTTACATTTTTGATGTACTTGCCAATAGGGTTACCAATGTATTTCTTTACCCATAGGAGAACACAAATCGAATTATATAATCAATTGTTTTAAATTAGATTTTTTGACAAAATTAGTTATATACAAAAGGATCAATGTTACGTGATGCTTCAATATTCAAGCTTAATGTAATATTAAGTTATAATCTAGTTATAAAAATTAAACAATTGCTTTACTTAATGCAAAGGATAATGTTCATTTGTGCGTATTTGGACACAGAACCTTTGAAAATAATGCCAATATGAGTAAATATTGCTGTAGAGAGCATATATAAAAAGATTTTTTTTAAATAGTATCTTACCAATTTACATTATTTTTTTATTTAATACATGATTTTTTTAAGTCTCTGAATTTTTGTCTCTGAATAAGCTTACATTTGAATAATTGAAATTTTGTTAAAATTTTTTAAAACTTGGTTTCTACTATATGGATTTAAGTTTTAAAAATAGTTTCAACTATGATTTTAAAATTTTATCATGATTTTAAAATTTTATAAAACTATAGAAAAAAACATTTATAAAAACTTTGTATCAAATTTTTGTTTAGTTTTAAAGCATATATAAAAAGATTTATTTTAAATAGTATCTTATCGATTTTTTGTTATTTTTTTATTTAATACATTATGTTTTTTTTTTTCTCTCAATTCAAATAAGCTTATATTTGAATAATTAAAATTATATTAAAGTTGAATTGATAAAAACAAAAACTTTCAGTGTAAACAGACTTTAAAAATCGTCAACCTAGTTTTCGAAAATGAGCTTTTGGTTTATTTCTCACCAAAATATAAAACTTATATTTATTAAATCTCATTAAAATTATAATGAAACAGCTGTTAGAAATTTGATTGTAAGTCACCCTAGAATCAATAGTTTTATGTGTGTTTTACAAAGATTGGTTTGGATTTACAAATTGAAATTTTTTATAAAAAGTACTTATATTCTAACATAAAAAAAATTCCCATGATACTCCTTTTATTA